AAAAAAAAAAAAAATTTGATATTCTAATTTTCTTTTATTTAATTTTCTTTTTTTTTTTGGCATTCAAAATTTTGATATTAGAGGAAAAAAATAATGGAAAAATGATAAGCATTGATTTTAATCTGGTTAAATTTTAAAATTAAATAAAAGAAATTTAATTTTTAAAACATTTTATTTTAAAATTTTAAATAAACACCTACTTACTTTCCGGTCCGGTTGAAATCATAATTGCTGCCATAACGATTATTATTAAAAATATTGAAATTGGAATTGTTCCTTTCATAAGATACCGATATTGTTTATAGAAATGCTCGTCAATTGATCGTACTAGTCGTTTTGCTGCGATCTAAAATTTTATTTTATTGTTATTATTATAATTATAATTATACTAATAATTTATTATTATTAGCGCCATTGTTGTAATTATTATCATTATTGTTATCATTTTCATCATCGTTATCATTATCACTATCATTATCATCATCATTATTATTACAGTCATTACTAATTATCATTGGTAATTATTACTGTTTTGTGGTATGAAAATTTATGCAGCATGAAAATTAATGATATCATATGAGATATGTATGAACTCAATGGATTATAAAATTGTGCTGTAAACATTGATATGACAACATTTTGATTATGATTTTGTCATCTCATAATTTTAATTAATATTTCATTAATTAGCATTCATATTGTAGGTGTAGTTTAAGCAATAAATTATGCTTACGTTTTACGTGCGACATGAAATAATCTAAATTATTACATTTAAATTATTTATTTTCTACCATTTTTTTATTAGTTATTATGGATATACAAGAAAAAAGAAGGAAAAAAAACAATGAATTTTTAATGATTTATCAAATATTTCACGGATCACTAAAGCAAAATATCAATTGTAGAAATGTTTTGGAAAAAACGCTTTAAATTAGCAATGATTGGCATCAATTAATTATGTTAAATGAATAAATTAATGATTGAACGAATGAACGATTATGATATTTTAATGTTTTTAATCATTCTAAATTATTAAACATGAGAAATATATTCAAACATATTCAAATTTAATTATTTAAATATTCACTTAAATATTTATTGAAATTTTAAATATTCAAGTTTTAACTATCCAAATATTCAAATTTGAATAAAACAACCCACAGATCACTGAAGTTGATTATTCAAATATTCAAATTTGAATAAAACATCCCACCAACCACTGAAGTTGATTATTTAAATATTTAAATTTAATACTGATAAAGAAAAGATAATTTGAATGTTATACTAAGAAAAAAAAGAAACGATTATATATCAAAAATAATAAAAAAAAAAGAAAAAATTTAACAAACCGAATTTTGTACTGTTAAAAAATAATTGCGCTGCGCAATAAGCATATTAATTGGTGCATCAGGTGAAGTATTAATAATACGAAGGATTAATGAAAGAAGCAGGAATGCTAATAAAACTAATAATGATTCTAACGTGATCACTACGTACGTGTAAGGCCGACTATGTATACCACGTTGCTGAAATATTAAATTATTACGAACAAAGATTTTTCTATTTTTAGAATCAATTAAACTTAGAACATTTAATTCTTAATTTTAATTGAGTTTAAACTTAATTTCAAGAACTAAAATATTTAAAATGCACTGCCTTGTAACAGTTAATCATATAGTGTAAAAAAAGTTTTCGTCTGATTTTTTTTTTTTTTACATTGCAAAGTTCAAATTTAATTTCAAGAACTAAAATACATAAAATAAAATGACAATCAAAAAATTATCATTTAGTCTTAATTTACAAAATATAAATCAAAAATTTTACACTCAATTAAAATTAGCATTCAATTTTATTTCCAGTTAAAATTCGAATAATAAAGCTTTTTTCTTTTTTTTTTTTAAAAACATATAATATCAAAATAGCAAATACTAAATTTTAATAAATATCAAAATTTAACCAAAAAATAAATTAAAAATGAGTACAATTAATAACTAATTATTCATTCACGAAATAATGATAAATGCGCATAAAATATGTAAAAATATTGACAAATAGATGTGATGCGTAAAATATATTTGAAATAAATATTAACTCTATATCCAACTCGATACCAATAACGAAGTTCTACATCCAAAAATGGTACTGATAAAATATTTTTCTTTTTTTCACGACGAATTCGTTGCTCTCCTCGATTGATATATGGTGGTAAGATAATTTCTTGTAATCGTTTTGGCTTTGATAATGGAACCATTTAATGGATTAATTTTTTTTCTTTTTTTCCACACAACCAAAATATAAACACTAGAAAAAGTTCATTGATAAAATTTACCAATTCAGAGATTTTTATAATTTCATTGATGTAAATTGCTTCAAAATTATATACTATGATAGGTAATATGCAAATTAATATTTCATAACATTTTATTTTATCGATTTTTTTTAATTTCCTTTTAATCAATTTAAATTTTTACTAAAGTACGACGACAATTTTTTTCCAAGCTATTTCTCGGCAATAATTTTTTTTTTGAGGAAATGATAATTTTCACTGATATATCGTTTAAACTAATTGATTTAACTAATTGAACTTGAACTAATCGCTCGAACTAATTGCTTCAATTACTGTCGTGAAACGAAGCCTC